CCTGTGTGCAGAACGAAACACTTCCTGCTGCAACACCGTGTAACGCCTTCTTTTGCAAGAATTGATACCAAACTAGTCTCAAGGAATTGGAGATTGAAAAAGCCCCCAGGTCTAACTCTTGCAGGATGGCCAGTGTGCTCCATCCACGCAACCTCCCTCCCCCAACCTGGCCTTCCTCTCTTGAATCTGTCCCCTTGTCTCTGGGTTCTGCAAATCGCACCAGTGTCCCACAAAACTCATGAAAATTCGGGGAAACATCTCCAGCGGTGGTGGGTGATGTTCAGTCCAGAATGTGAAGGACAGGCAGGGGTGGGCCAGAAGTGGGGACCAGAGGCTGCGCCCCACTCCTGGCTCTCGCAGGTGATGAAACCACGCCCCCTGCTTCTCAGAGGGCTCATTTCATATGCAGCAGAATCCTCAGTATCTTCCTCCACCTTCTTACCAGACCCATGAAGGGAAAGGTCGTTTGGTGGGAACTACATGGTACAGTCAAATTTCACCCCAATACAATCATGTACTCTCCACCCCTGGAGACTGTATCTTATTTATGCATACATCACCTGGGGCCTCTGGAGATGTTTCCAGTAGGCATTGGCCCCTCCTGCTAATCTCAATCAGCCAGGCTTTTTCCCAGGCCACTTTAGAAACAGATTTCGTTCCCTTCTCAGCTGTAGCATATAATTCCTTGTAGCCATTATAAATTACAGTAACCAAGATAACCATTAAACCATCTACTAAGGTCAGAACTTCAACTCATTCCATTCCTGTTTGTTAGCAGAAAATGCCCTCCGAAATGAGACACAGCCACAGACAGCCAACACCCAGAATTACGATACATCACGTACGGGACGCGTCCCTCACACCGCCCCCACCAGTGTTATGTTGATGCAACTCAGTGTTGCAGCCCCCATGTCGGTCCATCTCCTCGAGGGCCCCCTCTTTTCCGCTGACCCTCCACTTGGCCAAGCAGGAGGAGCTGCTTCTCGATGACCAGTAGCCCTTCTGGCTGACGTGTCCAAAGTATGTGAGATAAAGTCTTGCTCTCCTGTCTTTTTTTTTTTTAATTTATTTTTTTAAACGTTTTATTAGGGGCTCATACAACTGTTATCCCAATCCATACACACATCAATTGTGTAAAGCGCATTTGTACATCGTTTATCAAAACATTTTCTCTCCATTTAAACCCCCGACATTAGGTCCTCATTTTTCCCCTCCCTCCCCGCTCCCCCCTCTCCTGTCTTCTAAGGAACATCCAGCTGTACTTGTTTTCGACCGATTTTTTCCCCCCCTGAGAGTCCATGTTGCATTCCGTATTCTTTACCATCCCGTAACCCAAATGCCTAATTCAAACCCTCATCTTTGCTGCAAAAGCTTTAATGCTAGCATCAGAATCACATTTTGGTTTGTTATTTGGATCAGGAGGGCAGCAGCCAGAATCATCTCTTGAATATTGTTTCTACGGACAATGAGAATTGGTCTCTGGCCAATGCCTGCAGTGTCCTGTGGTCTGTGCAGAGAGGGGCTGAGAGCAGAGTATCCCAATGGCCTGAATGCCTCCTTTTCTGACGTTCCTACTTGCCTGGCCTTGCGTCGGTTGTGTCTGTATCTTGCCAACAGATGAGACACAGTACAGAGAGAGAGACTGGAAGAGTAACAGGAAGGTGGGCACCCAGCTTATTTGAGGTGTCATCATTGCTGAGACGCGATTTCACTGGCTTTTGCTGGTCTTGAAGAAAACGCTTGCTCTTTATGTCGTGTGAAAAGCTGCCCCGCTCTGTCTGATAGCTTTTCAGCTGCGTCTTTGGATTTTCAAGACCAATAATATTATCGTAATAAAATAACATTTTGCCTCTTCTTTCTCCTATATGCATATGAATAAATACATACATTTGATTAGCTGGAGCTTTCAGAACCATGGGATTAAATTATACAATAGCAATGATCTTCAACATGCTCCTTCTCTTCTTCATCAAAAGGATTCGAATGCTTTCACCTGGGGTGTAATTTTATGGGTATTATCTATGAAATGCTCATGTGTCGTTAAGAGGGCCTTTTAAAAAGCTAAACTTGATCGGAGTTTTAAATTGTTTTGAAAGGGAGATGAAACTTTTTCTTTTTTTAATCATTTTATTGGGGGCTCTTACAACTCGTTATAAACCGTACATCAGTTGTATCTGATGTATTCGTACATATATTCCATCATTCTTTTCTAGAGAGATGAAACTTTTTCAAATGACTTTTCAGTATTTATCAAGATTCATATATTTTTCCTACTTTATGAATAAATCAATTCTAAAAAATAAATAAATTCTATGAAAGTATTTTCCAATTGAGTTTATCCTTATAGTTTATAAAAATCTATCCTTGCCTTGCTGGTGTAGCATTTTGCCATAGTCCTGAGTTTGACTTTGTTTTACATGGTGTCATGTTAACTAAAACTAGCGCATAGCAGAACGCCATCGCACCATTCTGCTGTGCACCTGTTTCCGTTAGCTTGGCACCTTGTAAAGTGAAGACTGCCTGTGGTTTACCTAGGGAAGTTTACCTCTTCAGGTGCTTCGTTTTTGGGTACCTTGATCCGATTCTGGGGATAAAGTCATGTTGTTTTCCTCTGCCCTGGAAGTGTTGAAAAGGAGCCCAGGTGGTGTCGGTGATTAAGTGCTCAGCTGCTAACCAAAAGGCTGGTCGTTCAAACCCACCCAGCAGCACCGCAGAAGAAAGCCCCGGTGATGTGCTCCCATGAAGCTGACAGCCAGAACCCTGCGGGGCCACTGCCCTCTGTCACCTGGGCCCCGAGGAGGTGGCCTCTATGAGACAGCCCCCAGTAGTACCCACCGCAGTACTTACCTGCAAAAGGAAATTCCCCTCCTGACAGGTTTGTAAGAAAGCGCCCACACAGCAGTCTCATTAGGAGGGACACCTCTCACCGCCAGCTCACGGACCGCGCTGTTCTTGTGCGGGGCTGTCCTTTTGAACTCACTTGGGCTATTTATATTTTGCTTGACAACGGTTCAAAGCATCTTGATTTTTTTTTTCAATCCACATGCATAAGATATATTATCTTTTTCAGATTCTCTCCTTTCTATCATCTTTCTTATTCCTGATGTTTAAATAGATCATTCCTTTCCTCTTTCCCTTGCTCTTCAGGTCTGTGAGAAGTTTGTGGACTTTGGGGGGTCATAGCAAATAGTACATATTTTAGTTTTCTTTCTAGCTCAATTGATGCATTAATGTTTCTACGTTGATTGACTCGTTTTAAAACTTGGTTTACCTTGTCCAGCTTTTTCAGCTGAATTTTGCTTATTTTCAGAAGTATTCTAACAAAGCCATTCAAGACTAAGATGTTATCTGAGTGTTTTTAGCAGTGTCTCATACCTTGCAATATGTGCCATGATCAGTTTGGCCTTTGTAACCATTCTTCAAAGTGCTTCATTCACTGCTATCAATTACAACCACCACGTCAGGCGTCCACCATCAGTGTCCACTTTTGTACATTTTAAGCACACGTTTGGGACATTTTAATGTATAATTCATTTCTCATTTTATTTTTGACCCCAAAGTTATTAAAGAAGGAACATCATCGGTACAGTTTATTTTTGATCAGTTTTTCTAATTGGGACTTTATTTTGCTGTAGAACGTGTTTGCAGCCTGAATAGACTATGCACAAAAAACTTTGTTTTTTCTCTCTGTACTTCCATCTTGCATGTAAAGCTTTCTTGCCAGCTAACTTTCCTTCTCCTCACCTGCACCCAAATAACTTCTCTGTCATGGTCGTTGTAATAGAGACTTTTCATGGCTTTTGGACTAATGGAAGGATCCCTGGTGGTGGCGTAGTGGACTATCGGCCGCCCTGCTGAACGAAAGCTCGCAGGCGAGAGAGGAGGCTGCTCACGTCCAGAGGGCCAGCCCACAAGTCCAAAGGGCCCTCCCGAAGGGCCTTCTTTGACTCGGAGTCCACTCGCTGGCAGTGGGCTTGATTTTGGTCAGTTGGACTAATATTGATATCAAAGCCTCCTAGATCAGCGGTTCTCAACCTGTGGGTCGCGCCCCCTTTGGGGGGGGGGGTCGAACGACCCTTCCACAGGGGTGGCCCGATTCATCACAGTAGCAAAATGACAGTGATGAAGTAGCAACAAAAAAATGTTATGGTTGGGGGGGTCACCACCACGAGGGACTGTATGAAAGGGTTGCGGCCTGAGGAAGGTTGAGAACCCCTGTCCTAGATCAGTAAGTGAGAGATGTGTCAGGTGCTTTTTGGATAGATCCCAATAAAGCATCAAGCAGCATTAACTTGCTGTGCAAAATAGAGGCCTCAGTCACCTCCCCTTAATACCCAACGGGTTGTACGGATATCGGAGAAATCAATGTGCAGATGATTCCAGATCTGTAAAGTTCAGTTCAGGAATTGCGCAGAGAAGGCGGTCGAGTTTTGCTGAGGTGAAGGGTGGGTGAGGGATGACTTGCTGACGAGACCTGCCAGCGAGGAATCGCGTGCGTTGCAAAGGCCGGTGAACATAATAATTGACGCATCTCTGAATTCTCACCAGGGGAAGGATGGGGCCTTCTACTTCCATGAAGAGGTACAGCCTCGGAAACCCACAGGGCATTCTGCTCTGTCCTGTGGGCTCGCCGTGAGTTGGCATCCACTCAGTGTCAATGATCTGGATTTGGGTTTATTTATTTATTTTCCACACACATATATCTGTGTGTGCTCATGATTGTTTTTTAAGCCCCTTGACATCAAGCAACACTTTGAGAGCGTAGCCTCCCATTGTGTCCACTGAAACCCCGAGGTTTAAAGAGCTCGGGTGAGCCCAGTGTGGAACTCAGCGCTTCCGCTGTTCCTGCCACTGTCCCTTTCTAAGGGGCCGACCTTCTAGAGAGTACCCACAAAAGGCCTCAGCCCCAGGGCGGCCCTGGTGAGCTTTGGGAGAAGGAAGAAGGGGTCTGGCTGGCTGGGGGTCCTCCGTGTGTAACCTCGGTGTTTGTCTCATTTGAGATCCCCGCAGTGAAGTTGAACGAGCTGCTGGAGAACTTCTACGTCACCGTGAAGAAGAGTGATGGCTCGGACTTCCTGGCCACCTCGCTGCACGCCATCCGCCGAGGCCTGGACCGCGTCCTGAAGAACGCAGCTGTGGGCTTCTCCATCACCGGCAGCACCTTCACGTCGTCCACCAAGAAGCTCAAGGAGAAGCTGTGTGTTCTGAGCAAGGCAGGGATGTCAGGGGCCCGTTCTCGCAACATCGTCTACTTTGCCCTTTCAGATGAGGAGGAGATGTGGCAGGCGGGCTGTCTGGGGGACGGCAGCCCCATCACTCTGCTATCCACCGTGGTCAAGTACAACAGCCAGTACCTGAACATGCGGACGCTGCAGGAGCACGCAGACCTGATGTATGGTGACATCGAGCTGCTCAAAGACCCCCAAAACCAGCCCTACTTCGCCCGGACAGACAGCGTCAAGCGGGAGAGTCGGAGCGGTTCGGCGAGAGTGTGTCATGGGAAAATCTACCATGAGCACTCCCGGGGACCCAAGCAGTGCCCTTACTGCCTCCTCTACAAGTACATGTACATCCACCGGCCTCCCACCCAGATGGACGCCAAGTCCCCCTTCTACCTGACCGCGCGGAAGGAGGCCCCTGACCCGGGCGGCGTGTGGTACGAGGAGCAGCGGATGGGCCTGCGGTCTCTGCGGGGAATTGTCCCCAACTTAGCCAAGAAGGTCAAGCTGGAAAACTGCGAGAACTTCACCTTCGTCTCCTTTACTCAGGTCTCCAGGAGGCTGGGCTCCCACAGCTCCTGCCAGTGAGCCCCCTGCCCCCGGCCAGGCCCCTGACCGGCGAGGCTGCCTTTGGCTCTGGGTTGGTTTCCTAAAGGACAGTGAGTGAGTCTGAGTAGTGAGCGTGTCTTCTCCCATTGTCGGTTGCTGTTGTTCACATAGAGTCTCACCCTGTATACGGCGACAGACACCAGCGTGAGGAGACTCATGGTATCTAGTGCCTTTTTAGCACAGGTTTTCTCAAAACAAAAACAAAAAACCCCCAACAACAACTAAAAATGGGGGCCAAGAAAGAAAAACAGGTTCAGCAGTCATTTGAAGGAAAAAAAATCCCAGTAGCCCCGTAGCTCTGTGTGGTGACAAATATACACTCCTGGTGAATGACACTCGGCGTGGCGCGCAGCGAGAGCAGACGGCCACCGCTTCCAGGGGGCTGTGCTGGAGGGTGGAGCCCTCGGTTCTGCGAGGAACAGCCTCTGGCATTGGGGCTCCCGGAGCTGCCTGCTGGCAGGATGGCTCCGAGCCGGGGAGACAGTGTCATGGAAGGAGAGTGACGCTCCGTGTCCTCCGTGGCTCTATGTGAGGCACGTCCGCGGGAGGGGCGTGGGGGAGCCGGCTGTGATTCAGATGCGAAAACCTCCCGCAGCAGAAGTGCCTACATTTCCGTTCTCAACACCACCTGGAAGCCATTTTCATTTGACGGTTTCGGTTGGTTTTGTGTGGACGAATTTTCAAGAACTGTCCGTTGTGTCCGAGCGGCACACAGCACGGGGCCTGGAGGGCCACCCTGGGAAGCGTCAGGCGTAACCAGGGCAGTCTGGCAGAACCAGCTGCGAAGACTTCAGCTCCCAGCGTGTTTATGAAAGAGCTTTGAAATATTTTTGTCCAAGTACGACTTTTTTTTTGGGGGGGGGGGAAATAGTAGTTGCCATCCTTTTCGGTGGGTACCAATGACTGGGACACAGTGCCCCCAGGTAAGCAAACCTGGCAGAAGGAGGGAGGTTTGAAAATCAGGGCATGATGATTACTTTTTTTTTTTCCCAATTTAATTTAATTTTTAAAAATTTGTTGTGATTACTTCTTAGTACAGTTTGAAACCATTTTACTCAGGTAACGTTCAGCCTGACCACATGTTAGCTACAGCCACAGGATTGTGTAATTTTTATTGCTCTGGAGACTAGGGAAAAAGGAGCCCCAAGAGTGTGAATCAATAATGATGTCTAGGTTTCTTTCATTTGTAATTGAAGAGAAACTGCTCTGTCTTTATACCATTATGTTCCTATGTAATCTCTCTAATCCCAAATTAAAATTCCAGTACCGATTCATTGTTGCCCGAGTCCTAAAATCAACCCTACTTCTTTAAAGCATTATTATTGTTGGTAGTAGTGTTTTAATTGTTTTTCAAAAACCACTTGCTGGTCACTGACACATGTAACGCTTGCTTTGCCAGAGAAGACACAACCAGGGCTGCCTTGCGGTGTGATGTTGTCCCCCTTCAGTCACTGCGCATTGATAGCTTTGTCGACTAGGCGACTGTTCCTGAATATGGATTCATTTGGGTGTGCTCTCATCTCTATATAAATAACACGTGCCATTTAACTGTCCCTGTGTGACTTGATGCCACACAGGTCCACTGTTTTCCTGCAGTGATCTTTAGAGTCTGATTCAAGAGAGACAAACGCTGATTATGAGGGACCGAAGGGACGGCTCGTTTATGGAAAGCCGATGCCCCTTTTTCTTGTCAGCTCTGTACTGAACCAGAACCTCATGCTATTGGCCAGCGCCTGCTGCCTCAGTAAATAAAAACTCCCATTTGTATGTCCAATGGGTTCCTCGAGGAACATCTTCAAGAAGTAATTGCCATTTGGAATTACTAGTATTGTTTCAGATTGTAACACTTCCAGTTATTTCAGCAAGAACTGATCCAGAGGCTAGAATCTTTGTTGGCATTGGCATCTCATCAACTGAATAACTATCTCTGCCTCAAGTTCATTGTCTACCATCTCTTTGATGTCCTGTAACCCCCAGCATTCTACAATGAATGATTATGCCAAGCTAATACAGAATCGGGAGAGTGGGTCTCTGGTGGTAGCTGAAGCCTTGAGCGAATGGTAAATGTCATTCATGACATGCCTCCTTAGGGCATGGGTGTGAGGACGAAGACACTTGATCGAGCTCGATTCCTTGCCATAAACTGTACCATGCCTTCTGTCTCGTGTCCCTGGGTGTAGACGTGCACACGCACATATTTGATATGTGAGGTAATACTTGGTAAACCTGGATTGGCAAAGCGTTGCTCCACATTGCTGGCCTTGGCTTTCCCCAAAGGACCCTGCAGAAGACCAGGGAGGGACCGAAGATTCACGAGGTGGAGTTCAGCGAAGGCAGCGCTAAACCATATCAGAACCCGATGACTCCATGGCTCTCTGATCTTGACCTCAACCCTGAGAAAGGAAAATCACAGAAGAAGCAAGAAGGAGTGTTCCTCCACTTACCCTTGCCTTTCTGTGCTGAACAGTGAGGGTGAGTGGCATTTGCAAGTGCCCTAAGCCCGAGTTGCTCTGCGCCCCGCAGCTGCTGGCTGTGGAGCTGTGGCTGTCAGGAGGGGCTGCGCAGCCCTGGCGGGGCACTGTCTGCACCCGCAATGCCCCTCTGTGAGCCCTGCCTCTGAGCCGCCCCTTTCCAGAGTCTAGCAGGATGCCCATGGGAAGTTCATACTCACCGATGTGGTAGCTGTAATTTGATTACATGTCGTTTGGACACATGGAAAGCACATACTAAATGTTGGTTATTTTACTTGTAGCTTGGACATGTTCATGCTTGTCACTCAACGAATGTGCGTTGGGCCACCTGTCCCCTCTGTTGCGGGGAGCCTTCCCCCCATTAAGCTGTAAAGCTTGAAGAGGAAGCCTGAGAAACTGTTCAACATATCGATGCCCACAAACCCTACCTCCAGCACGGCCACGCCTGATACCTCAGCTACAGCGAAGCAAAGCTCCGGGAAGGAAGAACGGCCGAGCCCTCCGCG